ATCTTACTTGATTTCTCATGTTTATAAATGCATGTGTCCTTTAGCATCTTCCACATGATGTTCTCCTTTATTCCGGTCTATTTTTTCATCCCTTCCTCTACCATCTTCGTATCATGATTTGTGCTCTGGAATTTTATTCTTGAACTTCTTCCATACTTTATCATGGGACAAATACATCCACTCTTTTTCCTCCAACTGCTTAAAGAAAACCTTCAGTCTTTGTCTCCATCTCCAACTCTAATTTCACTCACAAAGTACACTGTATTAAAAATTCCAAGGGAAAAATATTGTAAATCTTCTGACGCCTTTCTCGTAACCTCCCACATGAGACAAAAAAATAGTTTCTAAAATTCCAATCCAACAAAAGAAGTTTTCCAACTTATTTAGCAGGATTTAGTCCCTGCTGTTAAAAACACATCCTAAGCATCTTATAACTGCCAGACCCTTAAACAATTGCAAGTAAATATTCAGGGCTTGGTGGGCTGTGCTTTATCATTGACAGCAGTGAGCAAAGCCAGAATGTACCAAATTATCAGGAAAATCTCGAGCTCCAAGTTGGAAGACATCAGTACTTCCTCCAGCTGTTCTCCAATCATCTGTCTGTATTTGCATCTTTTGACCCTCTCTACAGACAATGGCTCTCCAGTCCACGGATCATGTGGAGAGTTTCCAGTTTCTGGATGGTTATGTTCAGACCAAGCCTTATTGATAATGACCTACACGTTCTCTGACTCAGTTCCATATTCTTTCACCCAATCAGGACTCCTCAGTGGGGTCATCAGGAAAGAATGATATATAAATTGGGCTACATGAGTACACACAATTGAACCTCTGGTCTAGGGAAATTCTAAGAACATGATGATCTGTTGTGATTGGGAGGACATCCAAAGAGGAATCTGCTCCTTACCATGGATTTCCTCAATCATGACATGCTGTGCTTGTCCTGTAATATCCATGTCCCTATCCCTCAAAACCTCATCACAAAGAGACAATCCTTCACATCAAATGCTTTAAGGATTAAGAGCCAATGTTCCCCCACCCTCAGCTGTCAAGCACATCAGTCAGCCTATACAGATGTCAAAACCCGAATCAATCTCATTGCCATTAAGTCAATTCTGATTCATCAAGTCTCACATATAGGCTTTATGAGAAAATAAATCTTTACAGGACCAGACGGCCTCATTCTTTTCCTGTGGAGTGACTGGTGAGTTTGAACTGCAGACCTTGAAATTAGCAATTATTTTTTGTTTTTATAATTTTTAAGTCATTCTATTAGGGGCTCATACAACTCTTAATTCTATCCATACATACATCAATTGTATAAAGCACATTTGTACATTCGTTAGGCTCATCATTTTCAAAACATTTGCTCTTCACGTAAGCCTCTGGCATTGGCTCCTCATTTTTAAGCAGATGATTAGAACTGAACAAAAGCAAAACAGGTTTACACTTACAACATGCAATTCCCAAATTTCTGAACTAAGAAAAATATTGATGAATAAAATTTCCAAGTCCATAGACCTAAGCTCAGATCAGCAAAGTGATGATAACTGATGTTCTATCTAGGGGATTCTGTTTGAAACTTATAACAAAAAAGATGTATTCATCTACAAGTTCTGACGTTGGAATTGCAAAATGTTTATTGTCTTCATTGTCTGGTCCAAAGGGGCTCCAAAGCAGGTGAGGCAATTATTGGTTTCTTGTGTCTAATGAGGCTCTCAGGTGTCTAATCTGGCACCAGTGACCATATAGACTCCTGTAAATGGCAACTCTGTGATTTTCTGCAAACAACTTTCCTGCACAGAGGACTAAAACCATGAACGCCTGCTCCTCACTTGCTCAGAACTTAACTTTTATTTCTAAGAGTTCGTATTGTTTCCATTGGTCTTTATTTGTTCATATTAGCATGCATCTCAGAGGTGTTATGTCCATAGAGGTCACCCTCTTGAAGCTGTTATATGCTTTTTCATTTTTTGGTATATGAAACCCAGGATTGATGAACCTATAGGGACAGCACATAGAATACGGGTTTGCGGGCGGGAGTAGTAGAGTGGGCGGAGGATGATGTCATGGAGCCCATGTAGAAAATGAATGTTTGGAAACTGATTGTGATAGCAATAGCACATTCTACTTCATGTGATTGAAATCTGGAATGGCATGATATATGTGTTACATCCCAACTAACAAAACAGAAGAGGAAGAAGCGCTGACAAGTCCTGCAGAAGTGAAGGGTATCGGATAACTGCAGAATCTACCTCCTCCAGGTAAGGTTACAAGAGTGGATACATCAATATTTGCTTTTTAAGATAATGAAATTCTTTTAGATTCAGGGAGCAATAACAAGAATCTTGAATAAGCTGAACTTTTAGATAAACCAAGCAATATTTGTCTCTCTCTGTCTTTATCTCTCATGCGCTACAAAGGAATTAGGGTTGGGACTTAAAAAAATGTAAGCAGAGAAAAATGTGGTCACTCAGTTGGGCTGTGGATATTTTTGTGTGATTTTCAATTTTTTACAACAGAGTCCAGTAGGAATACTATCATGACTGACTGTGGAAAATTGGGAGCACAGGTGGAGTGGACAGATCTTGTTTTTGGCAATTCCATTACTAATATGCAGACTTGCTTAGTTGGGAATTGAATTTGTCCTGATTTTAATCACTCCTGCCTAGGTGCCTGAACTGGTTCTTGTGCATTGACGCAATCCCATGGTCATGAGTTGGACAAACCAATCCACTGTCTCCGAGTTTCTCCTCCTGGGCCTCTCCAGGCAGCCCGAGCAGCAGCAGATCATCTTCGTGCTCTTCCTGAGCATGTACCTGGCCACGGTCCTGGGCAACCTGCTCATCATCCTGGCCATCAGCACAGACTCCCGCCTGCACAGCCCCATGTACTTCTTCCTCAGCAACCTGTCCTTTGTGGACCTCTGCTTCTCCTCCACCATAGTCCCCAATATGCTGACCAATCACATACTCAGCCGTCAGACCATCTCCGTCCCTGGGTGTCTCACACAGATGTATTTTTTCATTGTGTTTCTTAGCATGGACAATTTCCTACTGACTGTGATGGCCTATGATCGCTTTGTAGCCATATGCCACCCTTTACACTACACAACAAAAATGACCCATCAGCTCTGTGCACTGATGCTTATTGGGTCTTGGTGCATTGCCAATATGAATGCTCTGTTGCACACTCTGTTGATGGCTCGACTCTCATTCTGTGCAGACAACAGGCTCCCCCACTTCTTCTGTGATGTGGCTCCTCTCCTGAAACTCTCCTGTTCTGACACACACATCAGTGAGATGATGATTCTCACGGAAGGGGGTCTGATGACGATCACTCCATTGATTTGCATTCTAGTTTCCTACTTTTGTATCACCTGCGCAGTTCTGAAAATTCCATCGGTGAAAGGAAAGTGGAAAGCCTTCTCCACCTGTGGTTCCCACCTGGCTGCAGTGTCCCTCTTCCATGGTACCATCATTGCCGTGTATTTCAGCCCATCATCCTCCCACTCAGCTGAGAATGACATTGCAGCTGCTGTGATGTACACGGTGGTGACCCCCATGCTGAACCCTTTCATCTACAGCCTCAGGAACAAGGATATGAAAGGGGCCCTAACAAAAGTAGTTTATATTATTGTTTTTTCGTTTCAACAACGAATGGGTTCTAAATGTCATAAAGGCATGTCATAATTTGTAATAATTTTTTCTTTCCCTAGTCTCTGGAACTTAGCAGTTGTCCATCCGTACATTTATCAAGGAAGAATTAGACACAAGTGTTTCCAAAAGTGGGTGATATACCCCTCTGGGATTTCTAGAATGATCCAGGAGGGGTGTGTGTGCAAAAGCAGATTCTTAGAGTTTACCCTGTATTCTGGGCTATTGCACAAAAGTTTTTCATTGTCAGGGGGCCATTGAATAATGCTTTTTTTTTTTTTTTACTTTAGTTTCGTTTTGTTTTCTGCAAAGGAGACAGTAGGCCAAATAAATTTAGGAACCTATGGAAGTGCAAGAGGTGAAGATAAAT